GGGGGGTGGGGAAGCGCTGGAGGCTGGGGAACAAGAGACAACGGCGGAACATGGGCCAACGCGAGCGGCGGATGGGGCGCCGTACCTTCCCCCGCAGATAGCAGCTGGGGCACTTCCCGTGAAGAACGAAGGGGGGAAGAGGAAGCAGTCCTAGCTCCTGCAGTCGTTCCTCTCGGTCGTCCCCCGCGCCACATCCCGCTTGCACCACCTCCCGCAGACATTCCCCCGCATCGCGACCCGTGGGACACCATCATTTGGGGCAACGAGCCGTCAACTCCGCGCCGCACCGTCTACGGACCTGCCCCTGAGCCACGACAACCTAACTTAGTCCCTGGAACCATCCCTGGGACCAACATCCCGCTCTCTGAAATTCGCGACAGAGAGTTCTTGGCGCTGATGCTGACTACCGCGGCAGAAGAAGAAGAAGTAGAGGAAGGAGCAGCAGAACCTGCTCCTGTACCTGACGAAGACCCTGAGGAAGCGCGCGCGCGCTACATGCGCACCTCCGGCTTTCGCGCCGACGATGCACTCTGGCACCAGCGCCTCGGACACCCTTCCCGCGCGACACTGAAAAACTGCATCGACGCTGGCGTCTTCGCTCCTGGCGCACTCCTGCGCCCTGATGGCTCCGAAGTGAGTGGCGCGACACACCCGCGCAACTGCACCATCTGCCCCGAAGCTGCGCTGAGCCACCAACCGTTCCCGCTGCTCGAACCTGGAACGAACCGCTACCCCAAGCTGCACAAGGTGTACAGCGATTTCCTGAACGTGGGGCATTGCGGAGTCGAAGACGAGCTATACACACTCACCTTCATCGACGCCGGAACGCGCTACGTGTGGGTCGTGAACGTGGAGTCGCGCGACAGAGCCTATGAGGTATTTCGCCTCTGGCTATCGCATGCGGAGCGGCAATCTGGGAAGAAGCTCAAGATCTGGCAATCTGACGGCGCGGCAGAATTCAGGAGCAACCAGATGCAGACGTTCCTGACGCAAAAGGGGATCGAGCATCACATCTCCCTCCCCTACGCGCACCAGCAGCAGGGCGTAGCCGAGCGGACGAACCGCACACTGATGACGAAGGTGCGCGCGCTGATGAAGCAGTCGAAGCTGCCGCCGATCTACTGGACCTATGCGATGCACCACGCCGTGCGGGTGCACAACCTCCTTTCAACTACCGCGATTACAGGCAATCTGTCCCCGCACGTCAAGTGGACAGGAACCAAGGGAGATACCTCCATGCTCCGCGTGTGGGGGTGCATGGTTCAATACCGCCCGCCGACATCAACCATCGGCAAGTTCGCCAGCCGCGCGCGCTGGGGGATTCACCTCGGCATCAGCCACGAATACAAGGCGTGGACCGTGCTGGACCTTCTCAGCCAGAAGACCGCCCATGCCCGCGACGTAATCTTCTACGAGCGCCTCTTCCTCGACCAGTTCCGCCGCGACCAAGAAACAAAGGCAAATCGCGTCTACGCCAATGACGGCCACAGCTATGCCACGCCTGAAGACGAAGCCGCTGCAACAATTCTGGAGCAGGACACAAGGGGGGAGTTCACATGGGAAGATCGGCGCAGCAGCGACGACGACGACGACGATAACTCCTCGGGAGGAGGAGCAAGCGGAACAGGCGGAAGCGGCGGAGGCGCAGCACCACCAGCACCACCTGAACCCGAAAGCGACGACGACGACGTGCAGGAAGTCGTCCCGCAACATCGCCACGACAGCACCGTCTCGGGGCTGCAGCTGCTCGGACTTCACGCTGCAACCTCGAAAGCGCCGCGCGTCATCGAGCCCCGAAATCCGCGCGAAGCTCTTTCTGGACCACACAGCAAGGAGTGGCGCGAGGCGATGGACGCGGAGATCAAGGCACTAGAATCACGCGACACCTAGGTGCTCGTCGATCGCACAGCAATCAAGGGCGCAAGGGTCCTCTCGGGGAAGTGGGTCTTCCGCGTGAAGACCGCAGCGGATGGAACGATCGAGCGCTTCAAGGCGCGCTGGGTGGTTCGCGGCTATGACCAGAGGCATGGGATCGACTTCGACCAGACATTTGCCCCAGTCAGCCGCCACACCTCCGTCCGCATCCTGCTCGCCATCGCAGCTGCAAGGCACCTGCCACTCCGTCAAATCGACGTGAAGAACGCGTTCCTGTACGCGTTAGTGGACGCCGTGATCTACGTAAAGCAACCACACACCTACGGCGAAGGGGATTCGCGTGTGTGTCAGCTGCGCAAGTCTCTCTACGGCATCAAGCAGGCTCCGAGGCTGTGGCAGCAGTACCTGCACAACATTCTGCTTGAAATCGGGTTCAAGCAGATGCCGCACGATCCAGGGATGTACCGCCGCGATTTCCGCGGCGAATACATTCTCCTCACAGTGTACGTCGGCGACTTGCTCTACACAGGATCAAACAACGAGCTTCTCGAGCAGTTCGAGAAGGCCTTGGCGGGGCGCGTCGACATCACGTGCAACTACGAGGTGAAGCAGTTCCTGGGCCTCAACATCTCCTACGCTCCTGAGGCCATTCACCTTTCAGCGGCTAAGTACGCAGAGGAGTTAGGGAAGCGGTTCAACATCTCACTCTCAACTCCCTATCGCACCTCCCGAACCACAAACCTGACAACAAAGCCCTATCCCCTGCTGGGATTCAGACTTACCAGCAGCAGTTGGGATGCCTCCTCTTCGCCTCTGTCACCTGCAGGCCAGACCTCTCGTACATCGCTAGTCAGCTGGCGCAGTACTCACGCAAACCAACGGCCGAGAATCATCTGGACCTGCAGCGCGCTCTCCAATTTTTCGTTTCAACGCCCAAGATTGGGCTGTGCTACTCAACTGCACCAACCCCATCCTTCAACCTCGTCGGCTACGTGGACGCCGATCACGCAGCAGACCCTGATAATCGACGGTCCAGGACCGGCTTCCTGTTCCGACTCGAGCCATCGGGACCAATCTCCTGGAATTCACAGAAGCAGGAATTGGTTGCCCTGTCATCCGCCGAAGCGGAATTCATCGCAGCAACCGCAGCAGTTCGCGAGGGCCTCTATCTGCAGGAACTTCTGCAAGAGGCGAAAATTCCGACTTCGCCGACCTTCCGCCTTCACTGCGACAACCAGAGCGCGATTCGTATCGCGAACAAACCTGGTTTCGTCAACCGCACCAAGCACATTGCGCTGCGGTACTTCTTCGTGAAGGACGAGGTGGACAAGGGCAAGGTCAACTTGACCTACTGCCCGACGGGTGACATGGCAGCAGACTTCCTCACGAAGCGACTGCCACGCCAGCAGTATCAGCACTGCTCCGAACTCAGCGGCGTGGTCAAGCAGGTCAAGTCGAGCTACGGCCAGGAGTGAAGGGGGGTGTTACGAATAGTAATATTTGATATTACTGTACACTCCTCACCGCAGCAAAGAGAAGCACGCAGTAACGAGAATGAACGCGAAGCGACAGACGGTTAGAATTGACTCGAAGCGTCGGACAGTTGGGACGCATCTGGACCGTCGGAGCAGACAGCATCGGGCAGCTGCAGGCAAGGTGGTTTTGGCGGGAACAGTTACGAAACTGTACGCGCCGCACGGTTGGGAATGAATTTGAATAAGGGAATGTACCCCTTAGAGTACATGGCTAGTTAGGTCGTTTCGTATTCCCTTGTACTCTTATTTATATCATTTTGTTTGCATGTTTTTATTATCTCAAGCATTTACATTCACTCTGCTATTGAGGTCAAGGGCCCACCAACTATTTCACTGCGTGCGAACCTTCCTGGGTAGATCCCGGGCTACAATCAACTTCTGATCGCAGCAAGATCCGTTGTTGGTTTTCATGAACACGAGACGGTCTATCCATTGCTTAGTGTATGAGATAGATAGACACTTTGCTGGTGGTAGTAAATGATTACGTATGTTTTTTTAGAAAATAAACCCCAAAAAAAAAAAACACAGACCCGAATAAGCGCGCACACATATCATTTGCACACACGCACGCATGCCACGTTACTTGTTAGCGCTTAGTTAATTGAAGGGCAGGTGAGCGAGAGGGGCAGGAAGAGCGAATACAAGGGGAAATAAGTTCACATCAGAAAAAATCCAATTAAAAAGTTGCAAAAGCCAACATTCTTGTCTGAAAACCCTTTTATGAGTGGATCAATTTGATTCAGTCCATAGACAAACCGTTTTCCATATATGCATTTTGGTGTGCCATGTATATTACCGTTTTCTACGGTGTATACAGTGCTATATCCGTTATCTGTATGCCCTAGGAGATTGGCCAAGCAAAGCTGGTCGCGTTTGGAAACCGGGGGAGCGTCAAAGATGTCGACCCGTCAACTGACCGCGAAAAAACATACACACTTCCACAATACCCAAGGGATGTTATGGTGTGTTTTTTGCTTGCGGGCAACTGACAAGCCGTTTGGTTTCTCGCGCCCCACGGCAACACGGTTTCAGGAGTTGACGTTTTGACTGCCCGCTGACTAAGCTGCCGTTGAAACGCGGCTCATCCCCTTGCAATGCTGATGGTTCCGTACGGCCGGGCTGTCCGCGTTGGGTTCGAATCGAGAGCCGGCGATATCTTTTTTGCCTGTCGCGAGCCGGCAGGGTAACCCGATGGTCCCGGAGGCACTCCGCCCGCCCCGCGCGACTCTGATTCGTGAACTTACGGGAATCGCGGAAGAAGTTACCTTCTGAGCGACTTTCGCATTGCCACCCAAACCGCGCTTTCGCGAATTCCACGGTCTCGTTTTGCCGAGTCAAACAGCTGGAAACCGTACGACTGAAGCGAATGGCGCCTTCAAAATGCTGATCGCGCCCCTCAATTTCTCAGCCTTCCTTCTCACTGCCCGCTTTGTATTACACCCCTTCACACGAAGCTCTGACGCGGGCAGACACGTTAGTGATCCTGAGCAGGCGACTACGAATGTTCATAATTTCGTCGTAATCTCACTTTCAATTTTCGAACAATTTATTCCACACTTCGTTAATTGCCAGATCGACGCCAGCCGCTGAATGGCCTTGTTTTCACCTACTTTCAACGAGTTCCATCGCCAGTACGAGTTAATAGAAGAGCTCGGTCGCGGGCAATACGGCGTAGTGCATCGCTGCGTCAATCGCGCCACGGGAGAGCATTTCGCGTGCAAGCTCGTCGGAGACTCTCTCAACCTGAAAAATCCCGCCACTGCCCTGCACGCGGCTCGACGAGAAATCCGAAACTTGCTGCTTCTAGACGACTGCAGCCACGTGGCAGCGCTTAAAGACATATACCGCGACGCGGAATCCGGGTCGCTGTATCTAGTAATGGAGCTGTGCGCGGGAGGAGATCTCCTGCGCCGCGTGGAAGAGAGGGGGCGGATTCCCGAGCGCGAGGCGCGCAGCGTGTTCAGAGACATGGCGACAGCGGTGCGACAGTGCCACGAGCGCGGCGTGATGCATCGAGATATCAAACTCGAAAACGTCCTCCTCTGCCCCAAGCCGCTGCGCGAAATGCGCCACAGCCACGGCATTCACTGTGACGCTGCGGAGACTGCACAACCGCGTGAAGACCATGCTTCCGATCCTAACAGCAGCCCCACCAGCAGGAGTTGTGCTTCTCTTGCTACTGCCAGTAGCAGTGATGATCACGTAATGGACGATCTACGCCTCTATACGGCCAAGCTGGCGGATTTCGGCATCTCAGTCAGGCTGCGCCCCGATCAAGAAGCCGTCGGGTACGGCGGAAGCTTCCCGTACGAGGCTCCAGAGATGATTGCTGGAGAGCCGTACGATTGTAGCGCGGATATCTGGAGCCTCGGGGTTACTCTCTACGCCATGCTGTCCGGGTGCTGGCCTTCGTTTGATGGTGGGGTGCGGCGATTGGATGAGAGCAGGGACTGGGAAGATTCCTGCTGGTGGTTTGTGTCGCAGCATGCGAAGAATCTCGTCCGTCGGATGCTGTCGGTGGATCCTGCGATGCGACCGACGGCTGAGGAGATTTTGAGCGATCCCTGGGTGAAGGGGCAAGGCGGAGAGATCGTGCGGTATAAGCAGACTCCATTTCTGCAACAAGTGGCTCTGATGAGCAAAGGGCGGTTTACTAAGGCGAGAGGTCGCCGCAATATGACCGTGAGGATGCAAAGAGGAGATGCAAACAGGGGAGAGTGTGGGGCTGTTGCTGCCGGTGCAGCTGAGAGCAGCAGCACAGCATCTACAGGGGTGATGACAGTTGAAACACTGCATTCATCCCCTTCGCAGACATCTATATCTTCATCGATTATCTCCCCATCCTCCGTTCCTGGTTTCCATGGCCCATACAGCTGCCAGCAGCATGGCTTCAGGGATTAACGATACTGACAAGAGGAGAGTGTACAGTCCAGTCAGAAGCACAGGGTAGCAAGTAAATGGTGCCAAATGGCTCCAAGTGGCAATAGCCACAGTGACCTAGGGGCTCACTGAATAGTTTTTACATGACATAGCAAAACATAGCGTGCAAAAGCATTGAATATCTACACTCAGATTAAATGAAGAGCCATGAAGCACAGCACCAGCAGTACAGTTCAACAAAACCATCAATAATTAGAAGTGCTTCTCTGGGTCAGCAGCGGCAGCCATACCCCATGATTCCACCGCTGTTTCAAAGAGGGCGCTGCTACAGCTATGGAGCAGCAGAGGTCAACAACATCAATATGTTTCCACCATCCTAACAGCAGGCAACAACAGCCCCACTAGATGTCATACACCTGCACGGACGCCAGCAGCTCATCCTGCTCCTTTACAGCTGGCGTCGCAACCGCCTCAGAGCGACAGAGCTCAACAACAATGCCTTGTCACCCTAGCAGCACAACCCCTCTCCCCTCCTCTCTCCTCCCCTTCCCCCCCTTCCCCCCCTAAATGTCATACACCTGCACGGATGCCAGCAGCTCGTCCTGTTCTTTCACTGCTGGTGCTGCTACAGCCACGGAGCGACACAGCTTGACCTTAATGCCTGGCCCCCCACTCCTCCCCCTCCCCCCCCCCCCTCCCCCCCCTCCGCTCTCCTAAATGTCATACACCTGCACAGATGCCAGCAGCTCGTCCTGCTCCTTCACAGCAGGCGCTGCCACAGCCACAGAGCGACAGGTGTTGACATCAATGTGTTGTCATTCTAAAACCACACACACACCCCTCTAGATGTCATACACCTGCACGGACGCCAGCAGCTCGTCCTGCTCCTTCACAGCCGGCGCTGCCACCGCCACGGAGCGACAGAGCTTGACAGCGTCGGCGGGAGTGACGAAGAGCCACTGCTCGCCCATCTCTGCCAGGAAGTTGGCGTCCCACAGCTTGCGCAGCACGTCCCTTGATGCACTGGCCAGGCAAAGCTGCAGGAGGAAGGGAGGGAACGGGGACCGGGGGGGGGCGGGGGTTGGGTTGAAGAGAGTGGTTTGAAGCGGGTGACAAAGAGCCACTTCTCGCCCATCTCCGCCAGAAAGATTGTGTCCCACAGCTTGCACTGCACATCCGACCACAGCCCAGGCCTCCTCTGACAGGTCTCGGTGCCATTCCTCCAGCCCACCACTTTCATGGCTGCCAATGTTCACCATCACGCCATCACCTTCGCCCCTTACTCCTACCCTTCAGCCCGTGAGTGCCTGAATGCTCTTCTCAGACACGTCTCGGCGCAGCTCCTCGAGCTACGATGCCTGATTGCGATGTGCTGAGCTGACCACAGCACGCTACAAGGCACATTGGTACTACTAACCTGTTAACCCTCGACCTTGGCCCTTTCAACCCGCCCGTCAGTACCTGAATGCTCTTCTCAGACAGGTCTCGGTGCAGCTCCTTCAGTCCCTCACGCTTCAAGGCACAGCCCTTACATGTTATCCCTTACCCTTGGGCCTTTCACCAGCCACTACCTGAATGCTCTTCTCAGAGAGGTCTCGGTGCAGCTCCTTCAACCCGTCAATGCCCGACAAGGTCCTTCCCTTGCTCACCAGATGGCGCTACAGCATGTGACCCTCTACCCCTAACTCGTCAGTACCTGAATGCTCTTCTCAGAGAGGTCTCGTTGCAGCTCCTTCAGCCCGTCGATGCCTGATGGGATATCTGAGAGGGTACGGACTCCAGTGCTCACCACATGACAGACACTACAGCATGTGACTCTCTACCCTCAACCCGTCAGTCAGTACCTGAATGCTCTTCTCAGACAGGTCGCGGTGCAGCTCCTTCAACCCATCAATGCCTGATGGGCTGACCACATCACACTACAAGACAAATAACCCGTTTTCCCCTAGTCTTAACACTGCAGCCATCACTACCTGAATGCTCTTCTCAGACAGGTCGCGGTGAAGCTCCTTCAACCCATCGATTCCCGACACATCAATGTCGTGCATTACACTCAGATCCAAGATGCAGTGCTGCGGGGTGGGGAGAGGAATGGGAAGGGAGGAAGGAGAGAGATGCAACGAGCAACACTCAAGCAGTGCTGTGTGGAGTGGGGAGGAGGGGAGTGAGCTGCAACGAGCAACACTCAAGCACTGCTGTGTGGGGGGGGAGGAGGGGAGTGAGCTGCAATACGCCTGTTGTGCATCACGATCGAATCGAGAATGCAGTGCTGCGGAGCGGGGAGGCGGAGTGAGAGGGGAGGAAGGGGAGAAAGGAGAGGGAACAAACGGAACAATGGAACGGGCCAAATGTCAGTGTCGTTCATGAATGCAGTGGCGCAAGGCAGGAATGCAATGCTGTGGGGTGTGGAGGAGGAAGAGAATGCAAGGAGAGATCAGCCCCAAGAAAGTACAGGCGGGCTCCCCCAATACCCCCACCCAACCCCCCATCCTCAGCAACCATTCCCCCAACCAAAACCCTTGATAGCAGCACATTCATTAGACTCACTCACCCGCACGGGTTGCTGGTACCCCCTCGCATAAGCATCACACAGCTTCTTGATTCGCTGCCGGCAGAAATTCGCCGCAGGGAAGTAGAGCGGGCTCTCGATCCTCAGCAACGCTCCATCCTCAGTAACCCATCCCCAACAAAGCCCCTCATCAGCAGAACAACCAGAGGACTCACCCGCACGGGTTGCTGGTATCCCCTCGCGTATGCATCACACAGCTTCTTGATTCGCTGCCGACAGAAATTCGCAGCCGGGAAGTACAGCGGGCTCTCGATCCTCAGCATCACGATGCCCTCGCACAGCAACCATTCCCCAACCCCCTCATTAGCAACACAGTCACCCAACTCACCCGCACGGGTTGCTGGTACCCTCTCGCGTACGCGTCGCACAGCTTCTTAATGCGCTGCCGGCAGAAATTCGCAGCCGGGAAGTACAGCGGGGTCTCTACCTCCCCAACCCTCCATCCTCAGTAACCCATCCCCAAGCCCCCCTATAGCAGCCTCGACAGCAGCACAATTGCCAGACTCACCCGCACGGGTTGCTGGTATCCCCTCGCGTACGCGTCGCACAGCTTCTTGATGCGCTGCCGGCAGAAATTCGCCGCAGGGAAGTAGAGCGGGCTCTCGATCCTGAGCATCACAATGCCCTCGCATAGCGTGCTGTTGGGGAACTGTAGCACGCTCACGGCTGTAGCGGCGCCGCCCGGGAGCAGGCCCAGCAGGCGGATGTGCGGGCGGACGATGCGGAGGAGCAGCTTGAGGACGGAGAGCACGGAGGCGACTAGCAGGCCGATCTCGGGCGAGCCGAAGATGATTCCGAGGAAGCAGCCGAGCATGACCATGAAGTCTAGTTTGTCCACCCTCCAGATCTGAAACGCTGCCTTGAAGTCGAGCTGGGGATGGGGGAAGGGGCGTGACAGGTGATGGACGGGAAGGGATAAGGGAGGAAGGGAAGCAGGGAAGCAGGGAAGCAGGGAACGAGGGAATGAGAGGAGGTAGAGCACGGAGGCGACTAGCAGGCCGATCTCGGGCGAGCCGAAGATGATTCCGAGGAAGCAGCCGAGCATGACCATGAAGTCTAGTTTGTCCACCCTCCAGATCTGAAACGCTGCCTTGAAGTCGAGCTGGGGATGGGGGAAGGGGCGTGACAGGTGATGGACGGGAAGGGATAAGGGAGGAAGGGAAGCAGGGAAGCAGGGAAGCAGGGAATGAGGGAATGAGAGGAGGTAGAGCACGGAGGCGACTAGCAGGCCGATCTCGGGCGAGCCGAAGATGATTCCGAGGAAGCAGCCGAGCATGACTATGAAGTCTAGTTTGTCCACTCGCCAGATCATGAACGCTGCCTTGAAGTCGAGCTGGGGATGGGGGAAGGGGTGTGACGGGTGACGGATGGGAGGGGATAAGGGAGGAAACGAAGCAGGGAAGCAGGGAATGAGAGGACAGAAAGGTCAGAGGAGGTGATGAGCAGGCCGATCTCGGGCGAGCCAAAGATGATCCCGAGGAAGCAGCCAAGCATGACCATGAAGTCCAGCTTGTCTACTCGCCATATCATGAACGCTGCCTTGAAGTCGAGCTGGGGATGGGGGGGAGGGGAGGGGGGAGATGAAGGGGAAGAGTGTAGGAAGCAACCGAGCATGACCATGAAGTCGAGCTTGTCTACTCGCCATATCATAATCGCTGCTTTGAGATCCAGATGGGGAGGGTGGGGGAGGGAGGAGGGATGACGGATGGGAGGGAATAGGGGATGAAGGGAAGCAAGTGAGCTTGATTACGACATTGGTGGAGGGGAAATGACGGGGGGGACGGCGAGGGAGCAAGGCGATAGGGGGGAATAGATGATGGTGTGAGCAAGTGGAAGCAGCTCATCTAGGGACAAGCTGAGTTATATGGGTCTTCATTTTTTTATTTTTTTTTCAAAGAAGATATGGGGAAGGAGCAGCGATAAATGGGAAAGAGGTGAGAGGAGCAAGTAGATGGAGGAGGGAAGATGAAGAATCCGGAAGGAGGGGCGATGGTGAGGAGCAAGAAGAGAATTAGAGAGGAGGGCGATAGGGAGGAGGGCGGTACCAGGTTTAGCACTGAGTTGGCGATGATAGCTCCCACCACACACTGCAGAAGGAGAGAGAGAGAGAGAGGGGAGGGAGGGAAAGGGAAAGGAGGGAAGGAAGGGGGAAAATGGGGGAGGGAAAGGGGACAGGGAGAGGGAGTGACGGGGAGAGAGGGGGATGGGGAGGGGGGGTGATAGGGAGAGAAGGGGATGGGGAGAAGGGTGAGTGAGACAGCGCACATGGGATACAGGGAATTGGAAGGCAGAAGAAGCGGGGGAAAGCAAGGGTATATAGCAGGCACGTATTGGAAGGGGTTGAGAGGGCAATTCACATACAGCAGGGCGGGGACCTATGGGGAGGGGGTGGAAGAGCATACAGCAGGCACGTATTGAGAGGGGGTGAGAGGGCTTACAGCGGGCACGTATTGGGAGGAGGTGAGAAGGCAATGGGCATACAGCGGGCACGCATGGTATGGGGAGGGGGTGAGTGAGAGGGCTTACAGCGGGCACGTATTTGAAGGCGGGGGCAGCTGCAAGGATAACGACGAGCATGGTGAGCGAGAGGATAATTTGCGTCAGTGCTGTGTGTGCCCCTGCCAGGATGTTCACTGCTGTGCGGGAGAAGGAGCCTGGTGGAAGGAAGAGGGGAGGAAGGGAGAGGGGGGCATGCAGGAAGACAGCAGCAAGGAGCACAAGGAGCATGGTGAGGGAGAGGATGATCTGCGTCAGTGCTGTGTGTGCCCCTGCCAGGATGTTCACAGCGGTACGGGAGAAGGAGCCTGGGAGAATAGGGAGGGGAGGGAAGGGCATGCAGGAAGACAGCAGCAAGGAGCACAAGGAGCATGGTGAGGGAGAGGATGATCTGCGTCAGTGCTGTGTGTGCCCCTGCCAGGATGTTCACTGCTGTGCGGGAGGAGCCTGGTAGAAGCGGAAGGGCAGGAAGGGGGTCGGGGGGGAGGGGGGGTTTGGTTGCGAGGATGCAAGGAGGCAGGGACGGCAACAAGATAGGCGCTGCAGGAGCTGCAAGACTGGTGGCGCTTAAGTGAGGCGTTACAGGACTAGCGGGCCGCACTGGTGGGGCGCGCTGGTGGGGCGCACTGGTCGGGCGCACTGGCGGGGCGCACTGGTGGGGCGCACTGGTGGGGCGCACTGGCGGGGCGCTCACATTTGGTGCCCCTGTGCAGTGCACATGCGTGGTGCTCTCCTCTCCCCTCTCTCCTCTCCTCTCCAGCTCACGTGGTGCAGCAGCAGCGGTCTAGGGATCTCAGACCAAGCCTGCACACACCGTTCTTAGACTAAGCATGCTCACCGCTTGTCACCGCATTGGATCACAGCGTACCTGTGGCGACGTAGCATGAGGTGAAGGAGCCTGAGAGGTTCATTGCTCCGTAGGCTATGAGCTGCGGGCGAGGAGGTGAAGGGGGGGAGGGGAGGTGAACGGTGGAGAGGAGGTGAGGGGTTGAGTTGAGAGGAGGTGAGGGGTCGAGAGGAACAGATGCAAAGGAATAGAATGCATGCTAGAGAAAAGGTGAGGGAGGAGCACGGGACAAGAATGCAAAGAGAGGAGACTGATGGATACCATGCGTGTGGTTGAGGAATGGTTGAGAATGTGAGTGGCTATGAGGGAGAGCGAGGTTGAAAGACGAGTGGAATGGAGAATATGGAGGAGTGGAGTATGCATTGAATTGTTATCATCAATGCAATAACTAGCTCACCTCTTTGTTACCATCAATGTGGTAACCATACATGCCCGCAAATGTACGGCCGATGCCAATTGATTCCTGGATGAAACAAACAAAGAAACAAACAAACAAAGAAAGAAACAAACAAACAAACAAATAAACAAACAAAACACAAACACACAGGAAAAGAAAAACAGAAACAAAAAAGGGAGATTTGAAATAAGGAAGCTGCAAGGAAAAGCGAAAACAGGGGCCAGGCAGACAGATGTGCATTCTGAGACTTTGACAATATTCCAACAACTCAAACTGTGGAAGCAGCAAGGCGTACAGAAACACAGAGGGCGGGCAGGGAGACAGACAGATATAGTACTACAGCCAAGAGCCCCTGATGGGACCAAAGCGATGTGTTTGCGACACACAAAAGCAGGGCAGGGCGGAGTGCGGGACGTGGGGGAAGGGATGGCGGGAGAGTTTGGGGAGGGGGTTGGGGAGTTGGAGGGGGAGAGGAAAGGGGACAAGAGGAGAGGGTGGGAGGAGCAGGGTAGAAGAGGGTTGCAGGGGAGTTTTGAGGCGCCCCAGAAAGGGGTTTGCAGGGGAGGGTGGTTAGTTACTGACAGCGAGGGAGACGAGGGCAGCATAGAGCGCGATGAGTGCGACCTCATCAGTGTACTCGTTGTGCAGATCAATGTCCCACACCGATGACATGCTGCCCATGCCCGTCTTTATGCTGCCCACCTGCATGCAGGCACGGGGGGCAACCGATGAGGGGGATGGGGGAAGAGGGAAGAGGGGAGGGAGGGGAGAGGAGAGGAGGGCAATTCGTGCAGCTTCATCAGTGTACTCGTTGTGCAGATCAATGTCCCACACCGATGACATGCCCCCCATGCCCGTCTTTATGCTGCCCACCTGCATGCAGGCACGGGGGGGAACCGATGAGGGGGATGGGGGAAGAGGGAAGAGGGGAGGGAGGGGAGAGGAGAGGAGGGCAATTCGTGCAGCTTCATCAGTGTACTCGTTGTGCAGATCAATGTCCCACACCGATGACATGCCCCCCATGCCCGTCTTTATGCTGCCCACCTGAAAGGACAGGGTTGAGGAAGTGGTATGAGACAGTTGGAATTATTATGTATGTGCGCGCACGCGCGCGTGCGAGCGTGTGTGCAGTTGTGTGTGGTTGGGTGGATGCGTGTGCAGGCACGTGCGTGTCTGTGCGCGCGCACACACACACACACACGCACACACACGCACACACACACACACACACACACAGACACACACACACACACACACACACACACACACACACGCGCGCGCGCGCGCGCGCGCGCACGCACGCATACAGAAGCCCAGCAGATACAGCACAGCAGGGGCCCTCCCCCAAGGACCACCAAGCAACCCCTCCCCACAGCGCCGCCTCAAGCCCCTCGCTAAAGCCATGGTGTGACATGACACCACAGCTGTTGAGACGCCTCAACAGCACCGCCTCAAGCGCGCACTCACCGTGGCTACACCCTTGTTGTACATGCCGGTGGTGCCCACGATGATAGTGGAGATGACTATAGAGGAGATGGGCCCCAGTGCATTGGCGTAGAACAGGGTCTTGCTCTTTGGGTAGAACTTCGACTGGTGGGCGGCATTGCATGGCATGGCATGGCATGGCATGGCATTGCATGGCATGGCATGGCATGGCATGGCATGGCATGGCATGGCATGGCATGACATGGCATGGCATGGCATGGCATGGCGTGGCATGGCGTGGCGTGGCGTGGCGTGGCGTGGCGTGGCATGGCATGGCATGGCATGGAATGGCATGGCATGGCATGGCGTGCGATGATGTGGCGTGGGCGTGGCATGGTGTAGGATGGTGTGGCATGGCGTGGCATAGCATGGTGCGGGAAGGTGTGGGATGGCATGGTGTGGCATTGGAGGAATAGGAATGGAAGGATTGGTTGTTGCTCTTTGGCTACACGTTCGGCTGCTGGGATGGTATAGAATTGGATGCTCATGCATTAAGAGATATGTTGTAGCAGATATTAATTGTGGCATGGGAAACTGCGGCATGGGAAATAGATATTAATGGTATTCATCGAACGGTGCCATGCAGATAAGTGCACAGCTCTTCCACAGCATGCTTGGCGCTTCCTTCCTGGCACAGGTACATTCGCACATTCGCACATTCTTGCCACGCCAAGTCACAGCACAGGCCACGCTGGATCGGCGTGAAAAAGGGGGCCCGGTTTCCTCCTGGTTTCACTTATAAGCCCCCCTTCCCCCCCCCAGAAAAAAGAAAAGAAAAAGAAAACTACAGGCCACACGGTTCAGGCTTTCAGTGGGATGTCGTGTGATAGGGTGGGATGGGATGGGATGGGGCTATAAGGGGTGGAGGGCATGTGACTCACGAGAATGCGGATGATGGTGAGGGCGACAAAGAAGGAGAAGCCGAGGGCAAAAGCACGCCATTGGAACTGCACAACACACACGTGGGACGAGCACACGGGGGATGGGCGGACAGAGAAGGATCGATGCATTCCGAAAGGACGCACGTAAGGGGCCAGATAGAGAAGGGATGGCCAGGGAGCAGCACAAAGCACCCAGCAGCACCGCACAGCACCCACCTCGTTGGAGTACTCGGCAACAGCCTGGAAGATGCTGACAATGCTGGTGCTGAGCGTGAAGTCCTTGTACCCCAGAATGGGCTTCAGCTGCTGCAGTGCGATGGTGAGGGAGCACCCTGCCAGGAACCCAGCGATGGTGGGCTGGCTCAGTAGATCCACCAGGAAGCCCATTCTGTGGGGGAGAGAAGGGAGGGCGGAGGGAGGGCAAGGAGGGTGAGAGGGAAAGCCTTTCGGTGAAGAGGAGAGGGAGACTGGGTGCGAATGCCAGGTGGTGGCGATATGGATAAGGTATATGGCTCTGTGTGTCTCACCTGAGCACCCCCATCTCCTACCTCTCCCAACTCCCATCTACCACCTGCACTGCGCATCCCCATGTCCCACCTGAGGAGAATAGCCAGGGGTGATTTTTGTTTGACGACTCAGGGGTGATTTTTGTAGTCGACTCAGGGGTGATTTTTGTAGTCGACTCAGGGGTGATTTTTGCAGTCGACTCAGGGGTGATTTTTGTAGTCGACTCGGGTGATTTCCCCATTTACCACCCGCACTGCGCATCCCCTTTCAACCACCTGAGGAGCCCACCTGCGCGAACCACTCCCACCTTTCCCATTTCCCATCCCATGCCTCAATTCCCCATTTCCCATGTCCCACCCTCCAATTTCCCACCTGCACATCCCCAACCCCCACTTATCCACCCCCTGTGCCACACCTGAGCAGCCCCATGACGAGTTGGAAGAGGCCGCAGAGGAAGGTGGTGGTGGTGAGCAGCTCAACACCCCGCATCCCCCCTCCTGCCCCGCCCATCTCCCACCTGCCTACCCCACCCCGCATCCCCCCCGTTTCGCGCACCTGAGCAGCCCCATGGCGAGTTGGAAGAGGCCGCAGAGGAAGGTGGTGGTGGTGAGCAGCGAGTTGTACAGGTCGGGCTCCTTACTCGGGTCCACCTGCGCGCTCAGCTGCTCGCCCAGCAGCTGCGACACCACCGACACCGGCCCGATCACCATGTGCTTTGATGATCCCAGGATTGCGTACATCAACGGCGGCAGGAAGCTCGTGTCTGGGCGGGGAGAAAGAAAGAGGTGGGAGCGGTTGGGAGCGGTGGAAGGGGGTTATTGAGCAGCTGTGACACCACCGACACCGGCCCGATCACCATGTGCTTGGACAACCCCAGGATCGCGTACATCAACGGTGGCAGGAAACTCGTGTCTGACGGGGGAGACGAGGGAGGGGAGAGCGGTTGGGAGCGGTGGAAGGGGGTTATTGAGCAGGTGTGACACCACCGACACCGGCCCGATCACCATGTGCTTGGACGACCCCAGGATCGCGTACATCAACGGTGGCAGGAAACTCGTGTCTGACGGGGGAGACGAGGGAGGGGAGAGCGGTTGGGAGCGGTGGAAGGGGGTTATTGAGCAGGTGTGACACCACCGACACCGGCCCTATCACCATGTGCTTGGATGAGCCCAGGATTGCGTACATCAACGGCGGCAGGAAACTTGTGTCTGGAGGGGGAGACGAGGGAGGTGGGAGCGGTTGGGAGCGGTGGAAGGGGGTTATTGAGCAGCTGTGACACCACCGACACTGGCCCGATCACCATGTGCTCTGATGATGAGTCTAGGATCGCGTAGATCAACGGCGGCAGGAAACTAGTGTCTGGAAGGGAAGATGAGGGGGTCCAGAGGGGTTGAGGGCGGTGGATAGGGGTGCTTGAGGTGCTGAAAGGGCAACATTGACACCGGCCCTATCACCCTGTGCTTGGAGGAGCTCAGCACCGCGTAAATCAGCGGCGGCAGGAAGCTTGTGTTTGCACGGGAAGAGCGGTTGAGAGAGGTGGAAGGGACTTGGGAGGGAAGCAAGAGCGGTGAACACGGGGAGAGGGCGGCTGGGGAACTAGGGAGGTGAACGGGTTAAGAACGGTGGACGGGGGGTGGGGAAGGAGGTGACAACACGGGCAGCAAGGCAAGGGTCGTTTGCGAGACCAATGCAAGTGAAACAAGGTGATTTACGGCGATGAGATGAGGGGAAGGAGGTGACGGGACAAAGAGGACGGCGGTACAAGAAGCACGTGTCACAGACGCGTTACAACAGGAGATGAGGGTGGCTTATTCTGAGAGCCATCAAGCAGGCTTTAGGCAATCTAGCGTGCATGTGTTGGCACGGGAAGCAAATCAACGGTGGCTCATTCTGAAAGTTCTCGAAATGGCTCATGGGAAGCGATAGAAAGGGCGAAGGGTGAGGGGCGAGCACGGCTTACAGAGAGCGAACTCCTTGGGCGCGTTGGCATACTTGGAATACGACACGTCCTGGCGAGTGGCGTTGCGGAAGAGAAAGGGGAAACGCAGCGAGGAGAGGGGGAAGCGGGAAAGGGAGGGCGAGAAGATGCGGAGTGGGAGCAAAACAAAGTGAAAGGAGTTGGCATGACGACATGGGTAGGTCAAACTCCGTGGGATGAAGTGACACTTCAAGGTTGCTTGAGGTGCTGTATGAACTGATTCTCTCTTGAAAGAACGTGCTGCTTTATGATTGAAAACACTTAAGAGAACGTGATTATATGAACAGAAGATTAAGAGATTAAGCTTGGCGTTGACCCTTCCTGCCGCTAACATTGCGTCGACAACACAGCCCGTGGTCAACATCACGTGAAGGTCTCACCTGCGGCACGGACATGATGGCGATGGAGAGCCCTCCGATGATGTCGCCGAGCAGATAGAACCGTAGATCGTATTTCGGCAGCCATGACAGAATCGGAAACACTCCCACTAGGAATATCCAAATCTTCTCCTTCCACGTCTTATCGCGAAACTGCTGTACCGGGTCGGCTTCCGGGAACAGCACCCATTTGAGCGGCATCAGCGACTCGGAGAGCTCGTCTCGTAGAGTCACATCAGGCATTGGCACATTCATGCCTTCCACGTCAGCAGGCTCGGGTTCTACCCGAGCCGGAAGGCCTTGAAAGTCTGACATCGGACCGCCTTGCCATTCCACGTCTTCCCCTTGCCATCCCCCGCCTCCGCCTCCGCCTCCGCCTCCCCCTCCGCGGTCGCTCCCCGCTTCCCCATCAGCGACTGGGTAGCTCCCAGAATTTGGATTGGCTTCAGGATTGTCGTCTTCTGGCTTCAGTGGTATTGGAAAATCAAATCCTAAATTGTCGTCCATGGGTGGAATTTGAGTGAATATTTAGACTGATGCTGTCAAGGAGCAACTGAACGAGATTATTTCGCGATGTCCTTCTGCACTTTAGACACTGGCTGCTGTTGGCACGAGAAGGGCACGCCAACTCGAGGACGAGAACAATGACACAAGCGATCAAAGTTGACTAGACACACGAATGAGAGATGCAGTAGGCAGTGGTTGGCGCGTCAATAAAATAGGGAACAAAAGCATGTAAAGAAATTTATTGCATTGAGGTAGGTAGAAGGCGAAACTAAACTTGAATAATGCCGGCCCTGTAGGACTGACTGCCCCTTATCCGTTCCCAACAATGGCGGCGGTGGTTGGGGATGGAGGGAAAACAATCCCAAGACGGTGTTCCTCCTCACTGCAGGGAGGGAGGGAGCGAGGGGGACAATTTCTAGGGAAGGTGACGAGGGGCTTGTTGAAGGGCGGGCAGGTACCCAATGCGTTTTCTAAGTGAGTATATCGCCACGCAGCTAGCAATCTCGATCCCACCAGACGGCAGTGTGCTCAAATATTCTTCGTGTACCGTTTTGTACAGTCCATAAGTTGCCCACGAAAAAAATCTTATGCCCGTAACGTTGCTAACCTATGGGCTCCACGTTGGTGCATGTGCTTCTTTGGTGAGGAGGCACAGTTGTATGGGCGGCGATTGTTTGCGAAAACCTCGGCGATACGCAGCTGGCTCGGCCAGCGAAGCGAACAGTTACCTGAACGCCCAACTGCACCTCCTCCAGCCCCGCTTTGATATTTCAGTTACCGCGTTGACAAACAGCAACTATAAACGCGCTGTTTTTCATAACATGGTTCATGTCTCGCTGGCCTTTGCTGACGAGGACAGCCAACCGACAAAGGGGACTCGCCCCCGCTTCTCCCCCACCCAGCAAGTTGGGTAGAGTTACCAAATATTGACTCGTGCTCGATACAGTGTTGCACGGTGGTACATCCAACTGTACTGTACAAAACAAGCTTACATATTCCATCAGAAGAAGCCGACTCATCTCCATTCATGAGCCTACTGTCACCTTATCGGCTCCTACAATGTATGAGAACAATCCTTTGGCGTTTCCCCTCACGGCACTCCACGCAGCTCCCAGTCGCCTCTGGTTGTTCCTTTGCCATGCCGCATTCACCTTATCATTTTCCGCCATGAAGCCAGTGTCCCTCACATGTTCCACACGTGTGGCTTGGTCAGAATGGGAATCACTACCGTCCTCACCTATAGCAGGCCCTGTTGCAAGAAATTCGTCCTTATCTTCCCCAACACCCGAAGCAGGAGTAGCTGCAGTTGCAAACGCAGCAGGAAGTGTGTCATCATCACCTGTACCCCCTCCAGAACCAGAACTCAGATATGCAGCGCTCGGCGTCCCTTGCTTGCACGGAATCACTTGCTCAGATCCCTGCTGCTGCCCTCCCCTCTCCTTGCCTTGCTGGTGATCCATTGTGTGTGCACCACCACTGCTGCTGCTACCACCACTGCTGCCTCTCACCGCTGACTCTTCCCCTGCCCCTCCTTTTCCCCCATCACCTCTCAAGCCCACCTCACCTTTACCCTGCCCTCCACCTGCATGCTGCCGATCACACTCCCCTGCTGCCATCCCTCCCTCTGCCCGCGCACCACCATCACCTTCCTGCTGCTCTTCTGAACCTCCTCCTGAATTGACTCCTGGGCTGTGGTCGCTGAGTGTTTCAGCGGGGTTGCTGGTTTTATGAGCATGGCCAGCAGCAGCTGCAGGGTCGATAGGGCCAGCACAGGCACTGCCAGCACCAGAACTCGTTTTGTAAGGTTCTTCTGGTTGCGCAATGGGGGGTGCCACACCACCAGCAGCAGCAGCAGCAGCAGCTGTAGCATCAGCGGCAGTGGCAGCAGCGGCAGGCTTGTTCGTGAAGAAGGCAAAGAAAGACGGAGTTGCTTGCTGGCTGTCACCAGGCGACATTGCTGCATGTGACTGTAACGAAGGGGGCTGCTCCGTGGGGAAGCACGACACTGGAACAGGCACATCGTCCCCATCCTCCTCCCCTGCTTCACCGCCACCCCCCTCACCCCCTCCACCATCCACCCCACCTGCCCTCTCGCCCATCCTTTTCCCACCTGCCATCTCATCCATGCCAGCCGCACCTGCCGTCCTGCTGCTCGCACGGCCACCCCATGCTCCATGCTCCTCTCCTCCCCTTCCCTGCACTACTTCCATCCCCTCTAGCTGATCCTTCTCTTGCGCCTGTCGACCCACCTTCTGCCTTGCTCCTTCTGCCTCTCCCCCTCCCTCTCCCTTTTCTCCCTCTCCCTCTTCCCCGCCATCAGCCCCAACCACATCCCCCTCTCGTCTCCGCAGTGCATCCACCTCGGCAGCCAGCTCGCCCGCACGCCTCTCCATCTCCCGCTGCCGCTGCTGCAGCGCCTCGTTTCCCTCCACCAGCTCCAAGTTCAGGTCTATAAGCCGCTCGATCACCTGCTTGCAGGGGGAGAGGGGCATGTGGGGCGGTGGGGGGATGAGGGGGAAGAGGATGGGAGAGGAAGGTGTGGTTGATTCATAAGGCCCCTTAGCAACTACCTGCTGCAGCACCTCATTTCCCTCCACCAGCTCCGAGTTCAGATCGATCAGTCGCTCTATCACCTGCTTGCAGGGGGATGGGAGGAGGGCGGGAGCGGGAGTGGAAAGAGAGGACAGGGGAGGAAAGCGCGGTTGATTCTTAAGGCGCCTCGGTGAGTGCCTGTTACAGCGCCTAGTTGCCCTCCACCAGCTCTGAATTGAAGTCTATCGGCCGCTCTATCACCTGCTTGCAGGGGAAATAAACCGGGAGAGGCGAAATTTACGTGTTGTAGATGCAATGCATGCAAATAGTCTGGATGTATCTGCCAGACCTGCAAGCAAACCATCATCATCATAGCGATCATCATCAAAACCATCACCATCATAACCATCATCACCATCATCATCATCATCATCATCATCATCATCATCATCACCACCACCATCGGCACTCCTCACACTCCCTCCCCTTCCCTTCTTCCTCACCTTCCCCTGTCGTTGCAGGTTGACCTTGAGGGCCTCATTCTCTCGCCACACGCCAGCCAGAGCCTTCAAAGCATCCATCCTTATCGCTCCCCCAACAACATCGTCGCCATGTCACAATTCCCAGCACCTTACCTTCCCCTGTCGTTGCAGGTTGACTTCAAGAGCCTCATTCTCTCTCCACACGTCAGCAAGTGCCTCAAACACTCTCCCATCTCAATGAACACCATGACAAGAAAATCACAATCCCCATTCCCTCACCTTCCCCTGTCATTACAGGTTGACTTCAACAGCCTCGTTCTCTCTCCACACGTCAGCAAGTGCCTCAAACACTCTCCCATTTCAATGAACACCATGACAAGAAAATCACAATCCCCATTCACTCACCTTCCCCTGTCGTTGCAAGTTGACCTCAAGAGCCTCGTTCTCTCTCCGCAAGCCTGCCAGCGCCTGCAGCGCACTGTCCTTCTCCTTGCGGCACTCCTCACACTCCCTCTCCTTCCATTCCACTCATTCTCACCTTCCCCTGCCTCTGCAAGTTGACCTCAAGAGCCTCGTTCTCTCTCCGCACGCCCGCCAGTGCCTGCAGCGCACTGTCCTTCTCCTTGCGGCACTCCTCACACTGCCGCATCAACGCCTTGGTCACTTCCGCCTGCCATTACATCGCCACCCACACACGAATGCATGCACATGTGTGGTGAGGATGAATGGATGTGATCATTCACGTATGAACAAGCAACAGTGGAAAGGGAACAGCCATGCATCATGTCACACCACACCACACACAAATGATCGCCCCAAACAGACAAGATGACGGAAAAAAAACTTCTGCGTTTTGAGGGGAAAAGGTGATGAAGCCATAGCTGGGGACAAGGTGGGATGCAGCCGAGTAGATATCAGGGAAGGGAACACAACAAAAGGATAGGGGTACACACAAATCTTGTGACTTGGCGTCGTCCTACCTTCTCCTTGTCCGCCTGGTCCCTGCTCCGCAGCTCCCTCTGCGCCTGCTTCGTCCCCATGAGCGCCTCATTGCGCTCCCTCACCGCCTCCTGCCAGAACGCGTGTATCTCCCTGCCATGGGGAGGGGGGTGGTGGTGGTAAAGCATGGCGGAAGAATGAGAAACAGTTGGAAGGGAAATGGTTGAAGACCAGGAAGCAGCACGGAGAAGAATGGAGGAGAATGGAGGAGAATGGCATGAGAAAGGCGTGAGATGAGCCACATAGCCAAAGGGTCAGAAGAGTGAATCAGGAGCATGCTCTGTCAGTGTGGGGGGGTCAATGATGAGTAGGGTGGTGTCAGTGTGGTTCGTTCCTTACATGGCTGCTCTGTCCCGGCGTATTATCTCCTGCTGTTGCTGACTGAGCCGCGTCTGCAGATGCACCTCCCTCAGCCTCGCCTGCCTCTCCGCCTGCTCCCTCACTCTCTCCCCCTCCCGCCTTTTCTCTTCCTCCACTCTCTCCGCCACCATTCTTCTCTCCTCCTCTACTCTCTCCCCCTCCCTCCGCCTCTCCTCTTCCGCGCGCTGGACTGCGCCCTCTGCCGCCCTCATTCGATCCTCCCACGCCCGGGCCTGAGCAAGGGAGAGTGGGAAGGGGGAAAAGGGGAAGGGGGAACGGGGAGAGGGCAAGGGCTGAAAGGGAAACGCTAAATGGAGACCCACTCCTCAACCTTGTTAACCAATATTACCACCCACTCACCTCTTTTCCTCTTTCCCTCCCCCCTTCTCCCCCCCGCCCCCCCTCCCCCGCCCCCCCAACTTCTTCCCCCCCCCCCCCCCTCCCTCTCTCTCCTCCCCTTCCACACCTCCGTGGCGCGCGTCTCCTGCAGCTGCGCCAACTGCGCGTCGGAAGCCGCCTTTTCGTTTTCTAGCAGGGTTATGTACTGCGCGGCGCGGCTCTGCCACTCCTCCAGCTGCCGCAGCGCCACCACCGCCGCCGACCACTCCACGTGGCACGCGCACGCGCAACCAGCCGTCGCTGACGCCGGCGCTATCGCGGAATCTCCCATAGGGGACGGCGGAAAAAGAACGATTCGCGGAAACTGGATAACGAGAGGTGATCGTGGCCTAGATTTTTAATGGCGGGTCGCGTGGAAGTATCTGATACAAATTTGTTTGGCTAAACAAGACACGGATTAACAATGACTTGGAATCTACCCTACCATGATCAGGCTGGTGGAAAAACGTCGCGTGTAACGGCGAAGAACAGGGTAAGTGAGAGGTTGGTTTCCTTGGGATATGGTGGTGTCGTCGCAAAAAACAGCTTTCAACGTGGTTAAAAAAATCGTCTGGTACGACATGGCGGTTCAGGTGATGAATTGCCTCGGAATCGCAAGACGACGAAGACGCTCATTCACAATTCCCATCACGTGACTAGCAAGCCATCGCATGGCTAGCGATATGCGATTGACTAGAAAACGGCGAATGATACGATTGATACGCGTCACTCACAGCTGCAAGCAACGATAGAGCAGAACGAGCCACAATAACTTGGAGCACGAGCAAGACTGATGTGAACGACTATGGCGTGGAATGGGGCTGGTCACTGAACTCGATAGCTGAAAGCCATTCATGATGAAGTTTTCAGCCCACGCGCTGACACCAACTGAGCACTGGCCAAGTTCGCTGGCAGGCGCGCGGGGGTTGGGATGAGCGGAAAAGGCAGGCGGGAAGCTGCGAAGCGGGGAGAGTTGAAGGGACGGGACAAAATCGAGGGGAAGTCAACCGCGGAGAATTCAAGGACGCCGAGCTCGATGGAGGTTTTGCTGATTCGGCTGATCCGTTGAGAATACATGTATTATTTAGCATTTCATAAGGATTTCTAATAAGATGAAAGGGCAACTGCTCTTAATGGTGCATGTACACAGATCATACGGTAGGTCGGTTTTGATGTAGAGGCAGAAACCCGAGCAGTCAACTGAAGAACAAGGGTTTCATGAAACAACCATGGTGTTGCAGGTTGGCTTATATAGAACAATATGTACACGTGGGATGCGATGCGAGAACACCTATCGCATCTCACAAATGCATATACGGTACCCTCCCATATTCATCTAGCATACACTTTGGCAACAGGCACCCGCCTCCTCTCTAAACAGCTCATTCAGTTACCCTCCCTCCCATTATTCCTGTCCCTTTCCCCACGTCCTCAACCATGCGCATGCAATTCTAGAGCAGTGCCTCACACTCCACCCTGCCTTATCCACCGCTCACTTATCCACATCCCCATCCACTTCCTCCTCCTCATCATCCCCCCATATCTCCTTGTACTCGTGCACTGCCACACTGTTGGCATGGGGGAAGACACGCAGCCTAGCATCCTCCCCCTCCTCCCCCTCCTCCTCGTCCTCCTCCTCTTCCTCCTCGCCTTCCTCCTCTCCTCCACTCCTCCATATCTCCTTGTACTTGTGCACTGCCACACTGTTGGCATGAGGGAAGACACGCACCTTGGCATCCTCCTCCTCCTCCTCCCCTTCCTCCCCCTCCTCCTCCCCTTCCTCCCCCTCCTCCTCCCCTTCCTCCCCCTCCTCCTCTTCCCTCTCGCCCTCCTCCTTTCCTCCACTCCTCCATATCTCATTGTACTTGTGCACTGCCACACTGTTGGCATGAGGAAAAACACGCACCCTGGCATCCTCCTCCTCCTCCCCCTCCTCCTCCTCCTCCTCCTCCTTCTCCTCCTCCGCCTCTTCCGCCTCGTTCTCTCCCTTGGCCTCCGCTTCCTCCACTTCATCCACCTCATCTCTATCTCTTTCCCTCTGTCTGGCAACAGCTAGACTGTTTGAATGAGGGAAAACACGAACCCTTATCTCTTCCACTAGCCCTTCCTCCTCTTCCTCCTCCTCCTCCTCTTCCTCCTCTTCATCCACTTCCTCTCTCCCTCTATTCCCCAGTCCATTCCGCTGCCTCGCAACAGCTAGACTGTTTGAATGGGGGAACACACGAACTCTTGCTTCTTCCGGTGTCCCCTCGTCCTTTTCCTCGTCCTCCTCACCCTCCTCTTCATCCTCTTCACCCACCTCCTCTCTCCTACTAATCCCCAGTCTATTTCTCTGTCTGGCAACAGATAGACTGTTTGAATGTGGGAAAACACGAACTCTTGCCTCTTCCGGTGTTCCCACATCCTCCTCCTCCTTTTCCTCCTCCTCCTCTTCGTCCTTCTCGTCCTCCTCTTCCTCCATCTCCTTTCTCCCCCTATTCCCTAGTCCATTCCTGTGCCTCCCAACAGCTAGACCGTTTGAATGAGGAAACACGCGAATCCTTACCTGGTCTTCTCCCCCCACCTCCTCCTCATCCTCCTCGTCCTCTTCTTCCCCCTCTTCCTCCTCTTTATCCAGTTCCTCTCTCCCTTTAATCCTTTGCCTCGCAACAGCTAGACTGTTCGAATGTGGGAACACACGAAACTTTGCCTCTTCTGCTGTCCCCTCCTCTTCCTCCTCCTCATCCTCCTCTTCTGCCTCTTTATCTATCTCCTCTCTCCCTATTTTCCTTAGCCTCGCAACAGATAGACTGTTTGAATGTGGGAACACACGAAACCTTGCCTCTTCAGGTGTCCCCTCCTCTTCCTCCTCCTCGTCCTCCTCTCCTTCCTCTCCTTCCTCTTCTTCCACGTCCTCCTCTTCCTCCATCTCCTCTCTCCCTCTATTCCCAAGTCCATTCCGCTGCCTCGCAACAGATAGGCTGTTTGAATGAGGAAACACGCGCACCTTTGGCGTGGCCTCTGCACCCTCTTCCTCTTCTTCTTCATTCTCCACCTCTTCCTCTTCCTCATCCTCTTCCCATATCTGCCTATATCTGTGCACAGCAACGCTATTGGCATGTGGAAACACATGCACCTCCCCCTCTTCTTCGTTCTCCTCCTCATTCGTCTCCTCTGTCTCATCTGCTTCCCCCTTATGCTCCTCCTCCTGCTCCTCCTCCTCCTCCCATATCTGTCTGTATTTGTGCACAGCAACGCTATTGGCATGCGGAAACACGCGCATCTCTGCTTCTTCCTCTGTCTCCTCAGCCCTATCCTCCCCTAATTCGTCCTCTTTTTTTCTCTCCTCTTTCACCTCCTCATTCTCTTCCTCTGACTCCCTCTCTACCCCCTCCTCTTTCCCCTCATTTCCCCCCTCCTCCTCCCATATTTGTCTGTATCGGTGCACAGCAACACTATTGGCATGTTCACGCACTCCCCCTTCTTCCTCTTCCTCTTCCTCCTCTTCTTCTTCCTCCTCATCTTCCTCCCATTCCTCCTCGTCCCTTATCCGGTGATACTTCTGTACGGAAATGCTGTCCGAATGGGGGAAAACCCGTACCACCACACTCCCTGTGTCCTCCTCTTCCTCCTCCTCCTCCTCATCTTCCTCCTCCTTCTCCTCTTCCTCCTGCCTCCCATGCGTCTCCCCCGTCCTCCTCTTACACAGCGACACACTATCCAGGTGAACAAGCCTTCTCACTGCCACCTCCTCCTCTTCCTCCTCCTCGCCCTCCCCTTCCTCTTCCTCCTCCCTCTCCTCCTCCTCTCCCCTCTCTACCTCCCGCACTCCCTCATGCGCCCCTCTATCTCCCCGCATCGCAGCATCCCCACTGGCGCTCCCCCCACTGGTCCCCCCACCCTGCCTATGCGCCACACCCCTCCCCACACAACCTGCTCTGCTCCCCGCCCCTCCTTCTGGAGCTGTGTAACGTGCCCCTCCATTCCCCACACCTCTCCACACACCTCCCCCCGCACCTCCCCTCACACCTCCCCCCACACCTCGCCCCACACCTCGCCCCACACCTCCCCTTACAACCCCCACCGAACCTCCCCCTGCACTTCCCCACATACCTCTCCCCCCAACACCCCCCACGCCTCTCCCCCTTCCTGCAACAGACCCTCCATACGCTCTTGCACCTGCTGCTGAGTCACCACCACGCGCCATTGCACGGTCATTCACAATCATATTGCGAGCAGCACAGCCGGTGCTTGGCATATTGCGCCTTGCATGGCCGACGCCGGGCGGCGGTACGGCATCTGTTGTTTGCACATGCGTTCTGGGCGGCACAGGTCTTGCACGTGTGGCACGCGGCATGTGTGCATGCGCATGTGCACTAGATTGTGCGTTAGGCGCATCTGATAGTGCATAGCGTTGTGTGTTGGAAGCAAGGGACTGTGCGTTGGTTTGCGCATGAGGTTCCGCACGAGTATGAGCTGGTAAATGGGCGGAGCTGTGAGCAGGAGGGTGGGTAGCAGCAGCAGAGGCCGCAGTGGCAGCGGTAGCAGCAGCAGCAGGGGCAGGCACGGAGAGGGCAGCAGCAGCAGCGGCATGAATAATTGACTCACGGTGCAGAGAGGACGCATGGGCGGGCACAAAGCGGGCCGTGGGGGCCGGCATGGGGGAGGGGAAGGTGGGGCCACGGGTGAGAGAGCGCGGGGAGGGCTGTGGGGGTAGATGGCGGGGGGAGGGTTGTGGGGGGAGAGAGCGAGGGGAGGTTTGCGGGGCGAGAAA